AACCAAGTTTCCAGCAGGCACAAAACCAAATTTACTCACGAGCGATAAGTGATGCTCGTTATCGGTGCAGTACCGCTGCATCGTAAAATTACTTTTCCTGGCTATATCAAGATAACAGATTTGTGGAACTAGAAATATGAGCTCCACTGTCATATCACCAATAATTTCATCAAGATCGTTCACGAACACCGAGATATCAGTAAGATGCAGCTAGATGCTACGTACTGCTGTACCAATTCCTTCCGACCAGCAAAATCTATTAGCCGTTCTTGCTGACCATATCCACCAGGAAAGGAAAGCATTTCTCCGAAGACCTTTCCAAACGGCCATTGGAGACGTACCAATAACTAATAATTGAGGCTAAGTGAAAGTGTTAGCAAAAAAAAAAAAACGCTTCCTGCCTTGCGACGTTTATTTGTGGTCGCGATGTAAATCGGTAACTACAACCAAAGGTGCAAACCATACATTTCGTTTCTCAGTTTACAGAACACGAAATGAAACGACACGTCAGGTGTTGTACCAAAACGATTCGAAAACGTACCGAGTGGAATAATTCCGAGTGCAATGCAGGAGAAGATAAATGTCACTTCGTTGCCTGTGAAATGATCGAAACGCATGAACGGGACGCACTGCTCCAAGCCCGACGTATTCACTTGAAATGGTTGCCCGCATGGATCACCATCACGCCAAAAGAATACCTTAAAAAACGTACATGTCGCACAAAACACAATAGCATCTGTTTTACTGGGATTTCCGCGGCTAAGCATGTGGAGCTCTCGACGTCTCACTGAATTACAGTACACGTAAAGTCCGCTATTTCAATCCTCCGCTTCCGAACTGTTGTCCCCGGTTGTCACTTATCATTTCCTCTAGATACATGCACTATCTTCCAAAGGTCATCCGAGTGGTTGCATCTTGCAGGTCACCTGAATGACTGCATTTTGAAGGTCATCCGAGTGGTTGCATTTGTCTTGCGGCTAGCAGCCACTGTTTGAAAATGTTCAAATATGAGCTGAGACAAGAATATCTGCTCTCATGAAATCCATCTAGAACCTTCGATCAGAATGATAAGGACCGGACATACAAGAGTTTAGCGAACCATCGCCAACTGGATCGAAAGAATGCACTTGGCCTTATCCGAAAAAAATCGGCAATAAAAATCGCTCTGCATTGCGCTCATCAAGAAA